AGGGACATATTTCCAGATGCCATCTCCTCAGGAGAGATTCAGGAACATCATGAAGTGGATGATGAATGGCATCACTGCTTATCAGCTTGGGTTGATCGAGGACAGAAGCACTTTTCCAGAAAGAGCTGTAAGGTTTGGAGAAGAGGTTGTGGAAACGACACCATGCTCTGAGGCCTCGTGGAAGCAGAAGCAGAGGTTGACAAAGCAATGCACTGAGCTCCACTGCAGGCACTGCACCCTGAATGCCTGGGCCACAATCCACAACTCTTTCAATGTGTTCAGCCTGAGCTACCATATCAAGCTCAAATCTAGAGACTTAGATGATTCTAGCCCAGAAACATGAAACTTAGATATCTTTTTCTTGTGTTGTGGTGCTCAGAATTTACCACAGCTCAATACTCAATCACACTCTGAAAGAATACTTCTAGATATCTATGTCTGTTGTCCTAAGAATAAAACCAAACCCAAACAAAAAAAAATATATTAAAGGCATGGATACCATCACAGAGATCTAATTAAAAATGTCTGATTAGGATTCAAGTGCTGCATTAGATAGCAATAGTAAAGGGGAAAATAGTAGGGATATGGTATAGCTTGGAAATATAATAAAAATGCATGAAAAGAGTATTTCAAGATTGAGATCTTCAAGTTCTTCCCATTATGGAGGGAAATAAATGTTTTCTTAATGATGTGCAGTAGAAGTTGTCTTGCAGTGCAGGAAAATTCTTCAAGGAACAAATACATTTGAAAGACTGAAGAATGAAGAGGAAAAAGCCAACAACAAAAAACAAAGCAAACCCTGAATAGAGCCTTAATTATACATGTTGAATAAGATAATTCTCTGGCTGCTTTTGTTTAACGTAATTTTAAAGAAAAGCCCTTTAAGCACTGTGGAGAGATGATAAATCAGGCTGCTCCTTAACTGCTGTAATTCTAAGATATTTTGCATTTTCTGCCCAGGTCCTGTTTTAGGCCCTTTTTGCGTGTGCATTAATGATTAACCTCTGCAGGGGAAATGGAAGGGGCTAAATCAATAATCCCAATTAAATATGACAGAACATTTATCAGCTTAACAGTACATCATCTTTTTCCCTTTCCTTGGGCAGGAGATAGTTGATCTTTGTAGGAGAGAACCCTCAAAAAAAAAAAAAATCACCTGGCAAGTAACAATTTTTAATCATCAGAAAGACTAGTAAAGCTGTATAAAGGGCTTTCCTGCTGTATTTACAGTTGGTCTGCAAGGTGTGTAACAGTGTTCTTCTGAAGGCTCTCCTGAAGCCCTTGGCTTCCTTGAAGTAGTTCACACATCAGTCTCCTATGTTAAGTATGTGTGTGTATATATATAAAGGACCATTATGGCCATTTTTCTGCAAAACATCCCATTGTCTGGGACAAAGCACATGACATTTTGAGGGAAAAGTGTTCTTTCACAGTGTATCTGAACACAGCTTCTGACCACGGAAATGTAGCTTTCCTTTCCTCTCTGAAAGGCATTTCCTTGACCCCAGCACTACATCCTGCCTAAGAGACCTCATGAGAAAGAAAGGCAAAGCAAGACTAATCAAAACACTGGATTCACAAAGAAGACTCCCTGTATGGACTAAATCTCAGAACAGAAGAAAATAGGGTGCTATAGTGAAGACTAAAGTCTCCTTGTAAATGAAATAACAGAACTAAGCAAAAAGTGGCAAAGTCCTTTAAATCTACTTGCATGCCAACATTCAAGAAATCCTACAGCAGTTGTTGAAACTGCTTGCATGTCTTCAGCTGAGTGTATGTGTAACCTAAACAGTTATTAAAAAAAAAATGTATTTCAGTGTCATATTTTCCAGTTCAGATTAAAAGTTGAAGTTGATTATACCTTATTAAGCCTTCTCTAGACACATTCCATCCAATATAGTTTATTCTGTAGTCATCTTGAAAATCTTAACATTCCTGCTAGGATTTCTAGGATTCAGTGGTTTCTCAGCAAAACACATTATTCGGTTTCATGTTGTTTCTGGATAGAACTTGCAGGTCTTTTCCAGTCTAATCTATTATGCAATTCTCCCCTCTGCCCACTTGTAAAACAATTTCAATCATGTTTTGTTGACTTTGATAACGCTAACTTATGTAA